TGCGGTCCCTCCCCCCCCCCCCCCCCCCCCCCCCAAACACACTTGAAAATTGCTGAGGGTCTTGGCAGACCATATGCTTCTAAATGTTGTTTGTACCTTTCTCTCTCTTTTGGAAAGCACTTTATAAAGTATTAAAACACATGTCCAGACAAGTGATTTCCATTAAGTTTTAGCAGTAGGTGGGGGAGCGACAGCTCTCCCTGACTGTGGGAGTCTCCAAGCTAAGCCTGGGAAGGCGTGTGGCAGCAGGGGGGGGACGACCCTTCCCTGGTAGGCTCGGGGCTGGAGAAGGTTACCTTGTAGGATACTCATGGCTACGGCAGTCAATCCTCCCCCTCCATGTTCCACTATTCCCCACCTATCCCTATTTCTCTAAAGGCCACCTCCTCCCCTTGCATGTGTGTCTTTTGCAGGGTCCAGGTCCTTAGCTGGATTTTATCCACCCCACCCCCACAGCACTCCAGGGCAGCAGTGAGAGCCAGCACAGTTCATTTTAACCCTTGCTGAGTTGGAGTCTCTAGCTAGTAGTACTAAGAGGAGCTAGAAGGCCCCTGAAGTGTGAGTGCACTGAACACACTGGGTGCGTCTAGACTGGCAAAAACGTGTCAGCTGTCTACACTGGCCGCTTGAATTTGCGCAAGAACACTGACGTTCTAATGTAAGAATTCAGTGCTTCTTCCGCAAATACTTTCACGCTCTGGCTCAGGGATAAGCTCTCTTGCGCAAGAATACTTGTGCAAGAGGGCCAATGTAGACAGGCACCTTAATTTTTTCTGCAAGAAAGCCCGATGGCTAAAATGGCCATCTGAGCTTTCCTGCGCAAAAGCGTGTCTATACTCGGCACGGATGCTTTGGTGCAAAAGCATCCGTGCCAATCTAGATGCTCTTTTGCGGAAATACTTTTAACGGAAAAACCTTTAAGTATTTCCGCAAAATTGTGCTAGTCTAGACGCAGCCACTGAGTGGGATGCTCTCCAGCCTTTGCTAGTGGAACAGGCCAGCTGCCGAAATAGGCTCTGCTTCCACACACTGCTCATTGTTCTTCTCCACCAGGTAAGCTTCTGAGCTGTTTTTCCCCCTGCAAGGGGAGCAGGGTCTAGTGCAGGAGTGGGGAACCTTTTCGGGGTCAGGGACTCCTGACCCACAGAAAAATCAGTCGGGGAGGGGGACTGCACACAAGTGAGAAGGGCCAAAAGAACCCCAACCCCTCACTGCTGTGGCCCCCAATGGGGAAGGAGGAAGACACTCCCCACATTCCCCTCTCACAGCAGAGCTTTGGGGGGAGGGGCTAGGCTAGTAGACTTTGTGTGCTCCAGCCCCATGGGAGACTGGAGCACCAATACTGGGGGGGGGCCTAAGCCTTGGGGCAGAGGTGGGCAAGTCACGGGATCCAGCTCACAGCTCTCTTCCTGGGAACCTTAAGCGCAGCACAAGGGCACACTTTAAACATGGCTGCTCTACTCTGGGAGCAAGGAGGGAGGCTTTGTGCTCTGCCCCACCCCCTCAGCAAAATCTCTCAGCTCCCCTTGGCCACTTTCTGACCAATAGCAGCTGAGAGATTTTGCTGGCAACAGAGGCAGCCAATGAAGCCTCCTCCCTCCATCTTTCCCCCCTTCACTCCTATACTTGGCTGGAGCAGAGCCACATGGAGCAGCTCGGGACTGCAGCCTTCAGATTCCTGCAGGGCTACTCACTGAGAGCTGCCTAGGTAAGTGCCTCCCAGCCAGAGCCTGCCTCTGGCACCCCTACCCTTGATCCCCCGCCAATTACCTGCCCCAGGCCACCACCCAAACCCTCTGGATACCTTTCCGCCAGGTCACAACTCCCTCCCAGACCCTGAGCCCCTCCCTCAGGCCAGAATCCTCTCCTGCACCCCACGCCACTGCCCCAGAGCACAAACCCCTCCTTCCCCCAAACACACTCAGACTCCACACCCTCCTGCACCTCAATCTCCTACCCCAAGCTCCCTTCTGCACCCAACCTCTGTCCCAGACCCCCAAACTGCCACCTCCCTGGTAGAAATGTGGCCCTTGACCATGTGCCAAAATTTTGGAGTGGCTCCCTCCTCCCTCCCTTTAAACATTATTGCCCACCCCTGCCTTGGGGGCTGCATCCAGCTCCTGGTGTGAGGTTCCCCACCCTGGTCTAGTGTCACGGTGCTGAGGAGGGGCCTGAGTACCAAGGACCCAGAGAAAGTCGGATTTCCATGGCTTAGGCTGGCTGAAAAGGGAAACTGGTAGTGTGAGCGCAGTCAGCTGGGCTGAGCCCTGTTTGGTTACCTGTGGTCACAGGCCTCTGCCACCTGGACTGACAGAACTGTGGCTCCTAGACTGAGCTCCAAAGTAGGGTCTAGGGGTGGGCTGTGGTGGAAGGGTGACCTATGTGCCCTTGCCCTGCTGTGCCCTCATTTCTCCAGCTGCAAAAACGGCGATCGGGGCTTGTTTGCAGAAAAGCGCGTCTAGATTGGCCACGGACGCTTTTCCACAAAAGCACTTTTTGCGGAAAAGCGTCCGTGCCAATCTAGACGCTCTGTTCCAAAAATGCTTTTAACTGAAAACTTTTCTGTTAAAAGCATTTCTGGAAAATCATGCCAGTCTAGACGTAGCCATAGTCTCAGACATGATGAAAATACCAGGCCCTGGCCAGTAGAATGCAGCCCACCTTCTCATGTTTGGAAGTTTAAAATAAGGTGTGAAAAATCAGGATATTGTGTTTGGGGGGTTACAGTTGCATATATAAAATACCGCCAGCCAGAGTCCTGGTAACAGCAGGATGTCAGGCCACTCTGTCTTAAAACTAAAGCGTGATTCTTCCTCTGATCCAGGCTGCAAGTAAATTTCTCCATGTAGCTAGGCAACGATTACTGGGTATACCCCCCAAAGGTTCCCACATGTTTGATCACGTTTTATTACAAAGATAAGTTTTCAAAGATTCCACCAAAGAGCAGGTAAGGGAACCACACAGACAAATATATGACAAAGTTAAAATATATTACAAAGGATGAGGGTTCAAGGCAATGCATTCTTTCCTCATGCGTCTGTTTCTTCCAAGGAGCTGAAAGAAGGAGCATGTGTCTTTTCTTTTTCTTTGCTTTGGAAAAAAGATTAAATAAAGCCTAGGCCATAAGGCATGCTCACCCACCACAGCACCTGACACAGATCCATGGCCTCACACTCATTTACTGCCTACTGATTAGGCTGTTACATTCCCAGTGCTTCTGCACAGGGATCACCCCCCTCATGGGAACTTCCACCTTTCTTTCCTCACATGCCCTCCTCTGTATGCTCTGACAAGTCTCATCTTCAGTTTCCCCACACTGGCCCTGTGTGCATCTGGCAGCTGTTCACAGTTTTTAAAGAAAAAAAATTAAGTATTTTTAAAAAATTATCTTTCAAAATAAAATGTAGCCCAGCTACATTTGTAACATTTCTAGACTAAAGCCACTTAGTCAGCAACTACAGTTAAACATCCACAGTGTATGTACTTTGCTGCAGTTCTGGTTAAACCTTTTTCTCCCCCCCCCCCATAAAGTGTGTAATTTTTAAAATATATGTAATATAAAATCAGCCGCGATGCTCTAAATCACTATAGAACTAGTCTACATTCCAGGCCTTTCTGAAACATTTGAGCCACAGATCCTGGCACTGAGCCATCCAAGGGACTTTTTTGGTTGACCCAAAGTAGCACATTGCCAGGTTAGTTCATAGCCAAGTGATCAGATGGCAGCCATGTGCACTATGGAGATTCCCCTTTAAGCCCTGTGTTGGGTGAGGTAGTATTTTTTTTTTTTTGGTATTATGAAAGTTTGGTGCCAAACTGGGTTTGGATTTCATGGCCTGTTTGGTTTTCTTGCATTTGTGTGCTGGCTTCTGGTACATCCCGTGCAGCTAACAAAGGTGCCATGTCTAAAAGGGAGCCATGGAATTGTGTTGTGGTCCTTCACCAATGGGCAGAGCGCTTGCATTCCAAGATGCTACTCTTCTGCAAGCAGCATAAAGGAATCTGGGTCAGCAATGTTAGGAGGAGTTTTTGCTCTTGCACCAGTGTAAATCCACAGGCATTGTAGCAAAATTGCTCCAACTTTACATGCCTGTAATTCCATTGGCTTGGAGTAACTTAAATGGAGTCACTCTCAAGTTACACTGTGCTCACTGAGGGCAGGATCTGTCCTAGAATACGTGGAGTCATTCCAACTCACAGGGATTGCTAAATAGGCTAATTCGCTTTGATGCTCGTTGTACTTGTCACATCAATAATCTTCCATTCATTTTAAGTCAAAAGTTGCAGCCGTCGGTATGCCAGACACAGCAAGACCAGAAGCTGCTTTAGGAACAGACCCATAATACTGGCCTGGGTTTAGTTTATCTTCATCACGACATCTTTAACTCACAGCTGCTGAGCACCACATGAACTCCAAAAGGTGTTCGGAGGGACTAGCTGACACTGGAAGCATAGCTTTGACCAATTCTGCGCTATTCCACCAGTGAAAATATTTAAATAACAAGAAACTCACTGGCATTACTCCAGGCTGAAAGAAGAATTCAGCTGTGGGTTGTAAATGCTGGAAGATAGGGAAGATGCTATCAAGGGCAGGAAACTTTTCCATTTGACCCCTAGCGTATCTTTTCCTTTTACTTCTAGGTTAAATTACTCCTGTGACCAGCTGCATGAAAAGTGGCTATTTAGGGGATATTGGTCAACTCCACTTCAGTGTGTGCACAACCATCTGGGAAACTTAGGGAAGTGGGAACAGCTGCCCCGATTTGTTCCTCATTTCATTGTCAAATGGACAATACAATCCTTCCAGCTAGGTAATGACCATTTCCGTCCAGGGTAAAGTGCTTTCACATGTCTCGACTACTTCGGAAGCAATCTCATTGTCTAGTCCATGAGTTCCCCACCTGGCACAAGTTGCAGATGGAGGGGTTATGTTTACACATACAGTACAAAAATCAAAGGCACAAAACACATCTAATGCAGCAGATAGTGTACAGTAAATAGATTCCCTGGTATTTAAAATATACAGAACTAAGAGGAGTATGGTTAAGGGAGTTCTGCTGCTGCTCCAATAGCCTGTGAAACCTCCATTCATCACTCCCTGAGGCTTCCCCGCTGCTTTGCATCCATCATTATCGCTTGCCTAGCTTGGGCTCCAGTCCGTGAGGAGTCTCTTTGGGAGCATGGCTGCTCACACGCAGGTTACAGGAAAATAATAAGTGGCACGTCTTGAGTTCTGGCTTGAAAAAGCAAATAAATTACAGGCGCCACGCAGTGCAGATCAATGAAAGGGAGTTCAAGCTTTATGAAAATGTTGTTTAGTGGCTTCTCATCCCTCGCTGGCTCATCTCACCCCTGGCCAGGCCCTCCACCAGTGTGGGGACAGGGTTACCCTAAGAGACACAATCCAATATATTTCTACATGTATATATTTTGTTTAAAGGCATGTTCCCTAGAGGACAGTGCACTACAGAGAAGGTCACTTCCAGGATGAGGTCCAGTCCAGAGCACCCACTAGGCCTCACTGCAGCACTCGTAAATATTGTCCTCCATGAGCGCAATCACTTGCTCAAACTTGTGCTGAAGCTGCGTGCGTCTCGTTGTGGGGTTAGAATCCAGGGCATTCACTATCTGTAGGAGCAAGAGCAGTGAGGTGATTAGATGAGACTAGGTTACTGGTCTTCTAAGCAGCCAAGGGCTAAAAGAGAGAGAGAGAGAAAGAGAGAGTGTGCATGTATGTGCGTGTGTATGCTTGTGCAAATCCCTCTTGCCGCAAAACAAACAGGAATGCATTAAACCTGCTCTTTAAAGAGCAAATTTCAGGCAAGAAGAAGGTATAATGACTTGCACATAGAGAGACCTGTTCTGAATACGCTGGTGAACTGACCAAAGGGTTGAAAATGCACCTACGTTTTAAAAAATCTCTGACTGAGTTTACAGGAGGCGGGAGGTGAGAGGAGACAGAAAGAAAGAGACTAGACATATGGGCATCCAAGTTCCTCAGTTAGGACCATTCCATCAGTGATGAATGAAAGGTCTCTTCCTTGTTTGGCCTCTTTTCTGTGGGACTAGGGACAGGTAAGACACTTGACTGATACATCACAAAAGGACATCTGAGACAAGATGGGTAAGCTAATAGTTTTCATTGGACTAACTTTTGTAGATGAGAGAGACAAACTTTCAAGCTTACACAGAGCTCTTCATGTCTGGGAGTATTGTTAATCCAGTGCCTCTATTCAGCCCATGAGTTTTAAAATATAGCAGAGTTATGAATTTAAGTTTAAAGTCGTAACTCTGTTAGACACCAAAAATCATGGACTGAATAGAGATGCTGGATTCATGGATTATTGAAACAATTTATAAATCACTAGCAAATCTCCCCTCCCAGCTTCCTCTTCAACCCCTCCCATTTCTTTTCCCCCCTACGACGTAGAGGTGTTAATGGTCATTTCACCTTGACGGCTCCCTTGAAATTTGTGTTGTTTATTTATGCTAAACATCTGTTTCACCTTGCATTTAGCTGTGGTCCTCTTAGTACTTTTCCCAGACGAGAAGAAGAGCTCCACAAAACTCAAAAGCCTGTCTTTCTCTCTCACCAACAGAAGTCGGGCCAAGGGAAGATGTTACCCCACCCACCCTGTCTCTCTATAATCCTGAGACTGACATGGCTACACCAGTGCGGCATACGAAAAAGATATCAGACATTTCCCCACAGTCCCCTCCTGGGAATGTTGAACACTGACTCCCCCCGCCCCAGACAAATGAAGCTGCTTACCTGAGTGCGGTATCTTTTGGCATATTTGTATATTTCAGCCATGGCTACATTGGTGTTAAACTCATTCCGATATTTCTTCATAAAAGAGAAAACAAACAGGAGGAATAATAATCAAAATGCAGGAATCCAGTCGTGTCAACCGAAAACAACTGGAGTAATAAGAGGCTTAGATCTGATTTAGCTGTAAATTAACATTTGATCAAAATGCTTAGACACTTGTTCCTGTCTACATTATTCAAGCTATTATACTTAGTTAGTGATTTCAGAGGCAAAGGCCAAAATGCAATCTTGGCACCAAAAGGGCCCATCTCCACAGATTACAGTGGGAGTGGCATTTCTTTATGTCCGGGATGAATTTGGAACCATTTTAATAATACTGTATGGTACCAGTGTGATCTGAAGCTCTCTGTGGTAGGGATGTTAAATGGCATTTAATCAGCTAATCGACTAGTCGATGGAATTTCCATCGACTAGTTGATAAGGGGGGAAGCTGCTGAGTAGCAGTGGGGTTAGCTCCCAGAGCCAGGAGCTAATTTCATTGCAGCTCTGCCTTTCAAATGTACTAAGAGCCATGGCAGCATTTCAGAGTCAGCACTGCACGGAGCCCGGGATCAGCTCGGGAGTCCCCAGCTGATAACGGGTTTGTGCAGCACTGCTTCTTTGAAACACTGTGGCAGCATTTCAAAGGGGCAATGCTGCACAGCTGATCCTGGGGTTAGCACTGCAAGGAGCCCGGGGTCAGCTGGGGACTCCAGCTAACCCCTGGTTTCCTGTGGCGTTGCCACTTTGAAACACCATGGCGGTGTTTCAAAGGGGCAGCACTGCACAGCTGGTCCCGGGCTTCACATAGCCTGAGGTTAGCTGGGGACTCCATCTAACACTGGGCTCCCTGCAGTGCTGCCCCTTTGAAACACCACAGCGGTGTTTCAAAGCAGCAGCACCGCACAGGTGATCCTGGGCTCCGTGCAGTGCTGGGGCTTTGAAGAATCCCCTCTTCCCACCCCCCTTGCTGTTTCTATCTGATAGAGGCCGCAAGGGAGGAGGGAAGCAACTAGTCAACTAGCCCTTAATAACCTTATTCTAGACTCCTTGGGCAGCTGGCTCCTGTGGCTTCCAACTCCCAAGAGCAGGACACTCAGGTAGCCAGCTGGCCTTAGAGCCATGAGAGACCTAGGCCCCAGCACCTTGGTAGTCTGCCAGGCAGAATGTTGTTAAAAAAATAGCAATGGGATGTTTCATTGTTTTCCAAATCAATTTTTTAAATTGTTTCATGGAGAACATCAACATTTTGTTTTCATTCTAAATCCTTTGCAAAGTGAAATTACCGTTCACAGCTCCATATTATTATCCCCATTTTAGAGAGGGGGAAACTGAAGCCCATAGCAGTGAAATCACAAAGCCACTAGCAGACTTGGCCACAGAACCCCCAAATTTGTTCACTCCCAGTGCAGGGCTCCGCACTAAAGAGGGTCCTAGCTTCAGAATCAGCGGCATCTTGAATCCTTAGGATTCTTCTGTCTTCACAGCAGCACATCACTCATTCCCTTCATACTCCCCTCTAGGGCAAATGAGCAGGGCCAATGCCCAACAATTTGAAGCCTGCAGCTGGAGAATGTGAATTTAGTGGATCTGGCTCCATGTTTATAGAGAGACAGGAGAAATGATTTGTCCCTTTTTGGTCCTCCTTCAGCATTAGCATATAGGATGCTCAATGCTAGTGTCCTGCACTACTGACAGCTGATCCCCCCCCTGTTTTCCCCATGGGTTACCAACCATTATGGGAGCCAGAAAAGCAGTGCTCAACAGCTTGGAGAACACCACCACACTCCCTTAACAAATTCTATGGGGCTGTTCCTGCTCCAGGGGACACCACTGAGTGCATAAGTGGACCCTCTTTAAAGCTACTGAGGCTTCATGGATTTCTTACCCGTGATTCCTCTGCGAGGTGTGCATTCATTTCCTGCTCACTGAGAGGTGGCATGTCGTGGATCTGTTTGTAATAGCGCTGCACTATTTTCCTATACTCTGGAATCTCCTTGGCATACAGTAGTTTATTGGTAGGCGAGTCCTAGAGAAAAGGAGAGAGAGACATTGGCTCCAATGCTTATGGCTTATTCCTCGGTCATCTGGGTTTCACACTGAAATAAGAACTTCAACTGCATTAAGGAAAAATCTAAACTTGTTGGTCCTGGCTTTAACAACTGTATTGCATAAAATGCATACACAATTGGAAAACTCATGTGCACATATGACGACTAAGATCAGTCAGAGTACTGGGTCTGTACCTGATGAGGTGATGTCTACATTTACACGTGCAATTTGGGCACCCACTGTTTAAAAATCAAGCAAGTTTTGCAGTTTGACATATTGGCCTTGGATTCTTTTTCAATAAGAGTTTTGATTTATTGTTTAGTCATCTAAAATAATGTGATCAGCTCACATTGTGTCTGGTCAAATGCATGTAAATTAATAAAGGAAAAATACCAAATTCACCTCTGTTTTGTCCAAATGGAAATTAATCATCTTGTTTCCTCTGCCCAGCTATGAGGGATGGTATAGCTCCACCAGCACTTACTTAGGCAAAAGTCCAAGTAAACGAGGGGGGATCAAAGAGATCTTCCAGATAGTGCTACTCCTTTCAGTAGTGTTACCCTGGAAATGACCTGGGCCTGTGTTCTTTACACTATGCCCTGAAGGTCAACAGAGTGTCTGTTGGGACAAGGAAGGGAGCAAGTTCTAGACTGAATGATGCTGTACTGAGAATAGCCTGTCCCAGACACACAAGTCCAGGGACTATTAGCAGGGATCTGCTGACTACAAATGTTGCAGGCACACAGAGAGGGGAGAAATGGATCCTTCAAATAGAAAACCAGGTAGGGTTTTCGAGGTTGATAGCAGCACCTTGCAATGCAGCAGGCCATAGCCGTGAAGCCATTAGGGTGCAGGTACAGTATGTGGTATGGCTCGCACCTGTAAGAGTATGGCTTTTTGCTAGGGGTGTAATTTCAAGATCAAGGAGACATATCTGCCTAGCTCCGGTGGACCACAATGGCGGTGGGAGGAGCTACCCATCCCCCTATACAGCCCTAGTATCTCCAATGGGATCACACCTGGGGCAGCTGTTTTTTCCACCACTTCTGCTGCTGTGGTTGCGCTTCTATTTTTAAGGCTCTAGGCAGTGCAGGCGTGTTTCTGTGAGATGGAAATTAGACTGCCAACTCACAGTGGAGACATACCCTTATTACATAGGTGGCAGCAGCATTCAGCATCAACTGGAGGGCTTATGTGGATTTCAGCCCCACAGGGTGTGTTTTTTGCAATGCCCTGCATATTTATATAGCCTATTTATAACATTTCTTTTGCAAACCTGAGGGAACCAAACTTCCTCTTAGTTACTTCTCTGTTTTTGTATGCATATGTATCATAATTGTATGTTGGCACAGGGAGGGCATGCTATCAGTTTATTGCATACACAGAATACAGATATATATGATCTGAGTCTAATCTCATACCAGTTTAAGTAACTCCACTGAAGTCAGTGCAATTACATCAGTGTAAGGCTGGTGACATACTGTATATACAGGCCACTTTACTTTTATGCAGGAGATTTATTATTCCCACATTACTCAATGATTCCTTTTTATGCTATTGTGTTTCAGAAAACATTTCCATCTGCTGTCTGACCCCAGCTGACCCCCCCTTCTCTAATCGACAGTTTGACAAGGACAAATTATAGGTGTTTCGTAACAGACTCAAAAATGTTCAAAACCCAAACAAACAAAAATCAAGCACTCATTAGATCTTCCTCCAGTATTAAATCTCTCCCAGTAAAGGCTTCCTGATGCTTTTAATTTAGGTGGAATGCTCTGCCCTGACACCCAGCCCCCCACGGGGCGTGCTCTGCGTCACACACTGCAACATGAGGACATGATTTACAGCACTCACTCATAAAACTTATTTATGTCAGGAAGTTTCAAATGTCAACACCAAACTCAGCGGAGCCAAAGGGAGGACTATAAAGCACACACACAAAACCTCTCTTCCATACAGCTGCCTGAGCTATGGGGTTTGAGGGTGATGTGAGTTACATGGGGGTAAAATGAGTAGCCGTAAGCGGAGAATCAGGCCCATACTTTCTAGAGAAGAAGTGGGTTGTGCCCACAAAAACTCATACCACCATCTATATTTTTTGTTAGTCTCTAAGGTGCTACAGGAACACTCGTTTTTAATTTTTCTAAAGTTACAGACTAACATGGCTACCCCTCTGAGGCTTTCTAGACCTCTGTATACTTATTGTCTGGTTCTTGAGTCTTTACTTCCATGATTTCAATTAAACTGTTTATGGGATAAAGAGACTCAGGATTAAGCCCATAAAGACCAATAACTGTTGAGAGGGTAGCCTCAGCAACATAAAATCTAGAGAGGAAGCCAGATGCTTAGGTCTGACTCAAATCTTCCTCAAATCAAGAGCAAGTCCACTGAAGTCAATGGTGTTACAGCAGGGTAAAACTACTGCAACCGAGTGGAATCAGATGCCTAGCTACTACGGTGACTGGCATATTCAAAATAGTTAGGGTAGAACTAAACTGATTAATCTTATGTGCACTGATAGCACCTAAATCAGCCTCCTTTAAGGGCAAAAAATACTCTCTTAGCTTCACGCAGTGGTAGATTTACATAATCGGAGTCCTGCTCACCTGTACAAACCATGACACATAGCTTTTAGTTTTGCAGAACTGAAAATGACCCTGTCTTGGAAACACCAACAGAACTTAATAAAGAATGGTTGCTTTTCTGTAGTGTGGTTGAACTGCCTATAGACCAGAATACCCTATGACAGCCATCCTAGAAATCAAATAAATGGATTGGATGCTTTTAAGGGCAGGGACTGTGTTTTTGTATGTGCTTGTACAGCTCTTAGTATTATGGGAGCTGATCCTAATTGCTGACTACTACCGTCATAAAAATAAATAAGACCTGATCCTGCAAACAATTAAACGTGCTTAAAACAGACATCAATGTCCCTGCTTGTGTGTAAAATAAAGCACATATGTAACTGTTTGTCAGGCTTGGGCTAAACAAATAATCTCTCTGTGTGTCATGTTTTCCCCTCTATTAGGTTTCATATTTGTTTGGTTCCACAGGAGTTTTCAATGCAGGACAAACAACAGCTCATGCTGTTGGACTGAGCAACATAGACATTTTGTTTTATGAATGCTGGCTTGTGTGCTACAGGCAGGATGAGAGCCTCATCCTCACAGCACTGATACAACATCCAATCTGTCCAAAGAGCTTTACACAAGTGGATTTGTTAGCCCTTTAAATCCTGCGGTAGGTTAATATTATCATCTCCATTTAACGGCCGGGAAGTCTGAGTAGTTAAAGCCTAAATTCTCCAAAGTGCAAGTGAACTGCCACACAGCCCTCGCCTGCTGATTCTGTGAGCATAGATCTATTTGTACCCAACCCTGACACTGCACGCCAGTCAGAGGTGTGCACAAAGAGGAGCACACACAGGTAGTGTGTGCACCCTCAGTATGGGGAAGCGATGTCCTTGCCCCTCCCTTTCCCTGCTCCCCCGTTGTTAAGGGCTTGATTCTTCTCTGTCTTCCAGCAGGCTCATTCAGGAATCGCTCTGCTGAAGTCACTGAAGTTGAACTGTTGTGAGATGAGAATTCCACTTTCATTGGAAGTGGCATTCAAGTTTTTGTTCTGATTCTGCAGGCCAGGAGCTGGTGCAGAGCCTCTGCATGGGACTCTCACATGGGGCTAGCATGTAAAACTGGGATTTAGATTGGAGACGCCCTGAGACTCGGAGTGTCAGTATGCCAGGTTTGGTAAGGACCCATCTGTCATCAGCCATTAGGGCAGCCATAATTAACACATGTACTGTCATAAACCCATTTCTCTCCCATTCTTCAAAATACGCAGGGTGATGGTTGTTTCTCGGTTTGAGCTTTTATCCTGTTGGGCTAAGCAATTTCCTTTAAGAATGGGAACAATATACCGGGCAGCCCACCACCTGGTCTACTGTGTAAGTCTAGAAGAAGGATCCAGAATATTCCAGTCACTATTCAGGCCTCAGTTTCCTTCACTTCCCAGATGTTAGCTCCCACCTTGCCTATCATTCTGGCATGCCTACAATAACACAATCCCACTACTCAATCTCAAACCTTGTCAGACCAACCCTGAGCAGAGAGTGAGGTGAAGGGAAAGCTCCATCGGCAGATCTGTACCTTGCCCAGCTGTAGGTCGGAGATGGAACAGGCATCGATGAAGGCCTGGGCTATGACGGAGAGACAGGCGTCTATGTGGTCGGTCTTGTCAATGTCAAAGACAAACTGAGGATTCTTCAGAATGTTGACCCAAAACCTCAGAGGTAGGCTGTGAGGGAAAGCATCAGAAACAGACTGGCTGAGTGTCGTCCTTCCCAAATCACTCCACAGTAATTTGAGAAAAAAACCCAAAACCAAAACAAAAAACCAACCCGGACAGGAGGATGGAGGAAAAAAAGAAAAAGGGAAAAATACGGAGCCAAGATTGTTATATTATTGTTACTATTCCTTGCCATGCCTTGCCCTGGCTAGAAGGGGCAGGCATGTGTCTCACAGATGAGGGGGTGTTTCCCGTAGGGTGAAGTGTGAGGCTCAGGCATGGAGTACACATGAGAATCCCTACCTAGGTCTGATGGCTGCATTACACATCAAGCACTGCATCATCCATGAAAGGTCCCTGTGCTTGTACCTGTAAATTTAAACCTAACTTCATCCGAGTGGTGCTGATGCCTACCCATCCATCCTAGTGTCAAGATAACCAGGGCCAGATGGGTGGGCATGATACTGAGAAACAACCTTTTTGTCTGACCTTCATTATGTTTTCTTTCTCTCCAACAGCCTAGCCCAGATGGGCATTGCTGTCTTGCTCTTTTCTGTCATTTCCACCCCGTCTTCCCGGCACCTTTGTGGCGGTTATTCCGGTACTGGGGAGAGCGCCCTGCAAACACAACTTGCCACAAAACAGCTACAGGACAGCAGAACAGTGCAAACTTCTCTCTCTCCCTGCTCCCGCCCAGCTTAATTGGACTAGTTACATGGCTCACGTGTTCCTTGCTTTGCTGCTGAGGCTGCCAGCTCAGGTGCCAACAAGGATGGAGAGGCCTGCTCATGAGGAATTGTACTGAGACCACCAAACAGAACTCCAAGCATCTGATGGCAACAACTCCAATTTGGACTGGATTAGAACCATCAGCCAAGGAGGGAGAATGTTTGTAGCCCATTAGCCCACTATCTATTGGTGCATCAAAAACCTGAAAATAAAATTTCCACACCCTAAACCAAACTATTATGCTAATTTGCATTTCTACTGATCTTCCCTCCCACAGCATGTTTTTAAATTCTATGAGTTCAGGCTGGAACAGCTGGTCCCATTGCAGCAACTTCAACACCAGCTGCCTCTCTCTTCTGAGAGGTGCTGAGACTCAGCTAAGGGACAGAGGTAAAAGGTGCAAAAAGGAGGACTGAAAAACAGTGGGGACAGAAAGCTAGCAATATTGCCACCCTTTCTCCCTAGTTCTCCCTGCTCCCCTTCTGTTCAGATGGCTGAACCTCCTTCAAGTTTTTCCCCTATTTCTGTCTCACCCCTCTGTCTCTTTCCTCATTTGTGCGTTCCACAGTCTTCCTTATTACTCTGGCCTCAGCTCTTTGCTTTTCTGCTAGCTCAGTGCTGCCAACTCTTGTCAGAGCTGTCTCACAATATATGGTGTTCTTCTTGAAGTGCCAGGTCTAGGAGTCATGTAACGATGCCAGAATCAGAATAGTCGTTTAAAAAAGAGAAACTTTCTAGCCTTCCCGGATGCAGAGAGAAGGTTGAAAATGTGACCCAAATAAAGAAAAGATCAAACAAGCAGAACCCAAATGTATTGCTTTGAAAATCTCATGATTTTTAAGACAATTTCATGACTTTTTGTCAGCAGACTCAGAATTTCTGAATACCTGAGGTTGGCAATATTGCTAGCTTTGTGTCCCATCTGCTCCTCTGCTTTTTTGTCCCTCTTTATGTCTCTCCTATTCCTCTGTCCCTTAGGGTATGTTTATACTACATGCCTCTGCCAACAGAGGCATGTAAATTAGACTACCCGACATAGTCAATGAAGTGGGGATTTAAATATCCCCCGCTTCATTCAAATAAAAATGGCCGCTGCATTGTGCCGACTCAGCTGATTGTCGGCACAACGCGGCAGTCAAGACGCGGATCGGTCAACAGGTAAAGCCGTTGTCGACCGATCCCTTATGCCTTATGAAAAGAGGTTTACAGGATCGGTCGACAACGGCTTTACCTGTTGACCGATCCGCGTCTTGACTGCCGCGTTGTGCCGACAATCAGCTGAGTCGGCACAATGCAGCGGCCATTTTTATTTGAATGAAGCGGGGGATATTTAAATCCTCGCTTCATTGACTATGTCAGGTAGTCTAATTTACATGCCTCTGTCGGCAGAGGCATGTAGTCTAGACATACCCTTAGAGTGCTTGATGGGGAAGAAACGGAGAGCAGAGGGTACCACTAAGTTCTGTATTCATTGCCTGCTTTCTGCCTTATCACTCTAAGGATTATTTCTGGGCCCTGGGGCTTTGCATCTACTTGTCCTGTGAGTTGGAAAAGAAGAAAATAATGGGTCTCGTTTCCCAAACCTGTTAGTTTTCCAAATGTGCAAAGTGTCAGGGTCAGAGATCCCTCTTTTCTCCGCTTGCTCCTCCAGGAAGTCAAAGAAATACTTGATAGCCACAGGTGGCTTGTCCTCTCGCATACAGAGAATGGCTTTGAACAGATCATCCAGGAACTTCTGCAGCGTGCCCTAGGGAACAAGTGCACATAGCATTGGCCAAGGTGAAGCAGCAACAACTAACACAAAGTTACTATTTGGAGGAGACTTTTCTGCCAGTTTAGTAAACTGAGGGAGGGAGGGGATGCAAAATGGAGAGGGAAAGGCTGGTTTTGCACTTGGTGATATAATTAGCTCTAGTTTGGATTTAATTTCTTTTGGCACAGAGATGGGTTGGTTTTTTTACTGCTGGGATCTCAGAGCACATCTGTGATTGTTCTGCACAGTAAATAGAAAACTAGAGTTTGTGGGCCAGTCTGATGATCTCTGCTCCAGCTCTACATCACACTGGGATTAAAGATGGACTTGAGCCCAAACCCTGGATCCACACACTCTTGG